AAAAAAAATTGTTTTCTTTTTAGGTTAATTCTTATTTGTTTCTTCCATGAACAAGAGGGACAAAGAGACCCAACAGGGTCTCCACATTGCAATCCACCTCCAGATTCAGCCAGTCCTGGATCACGGGCAGGCATGCAGCCAGTGCACTCAGGGAGGTCTCTGGATGTGAACGAGGAGCCTTCCCAAGTAGGTCAGCCTCACAGTGTTGGGTTTTCCTGCTGCACCACTGTGTGGCCCTTTTCCTGTGTTTTTCATGTAAGATGCACCTCTGCTGGTCAGGGGGTCAGGTGACCCCAGGCCACGCCAGCAGACACTTGACATCCAGGTGTTCTGCCCCAGCTCATGCCAGAGAAAAACCCAGCACTTTCGATGGGATTTTGAAAACACCACAAATTGCTGGTGAACCAGCCCCACTTTTGGCATCTTTTTCTCTCTCTGCCACTCCCTGGCCTCCTCCCAGGTTGGAAAGAGCTAATCTTCCCTTCCAATCTTCTCACTTCACTAGTTAAAAAAGGAAGGGGGGAGGTGTGGGGCGGCAGGGACCCAGAGGGGAAATGGTTTGGCCAAGACCACACAGTGTGGGTGGAGAGAAGATGGGACCAAGTCGCAGGTATCCTGATGGGTGGCCACTGTCCTCCCCACTTCCACACACTTCCCCTTGCTCAGCTTCAAAACTCCACCCAACAGCTCTGACTGCATGAAGTGGGAGCCAGCTTGGCACAGGAGGAGGAGAAGGAAGAGAGGGAGCCCTCCCAAAGAAAGTTGTTTAGAGTTGTCCACACCCAAGGATACCGGGTAGAAAGGAGGCCAGGATCAGAAGGCCGAGGCCATGCCAGAATGCCCTAGGTGCCATAAATTAAGTAGCCAAACATGCCAGACGTGTTCTAATGACCCGGCACACTGACAGCGTGTCTGAAGGTTGCAGTCTTTATGACAGGTCCCGTGACATGGATCTGGCTTGTTACATGATCTTGCCTGGGTGATAAGTGAAAGTATTGTTTTTCCCCAACATCATCTAGATCAAGCTCAGGAGCAGACCACCCAGAGAGCAGTCACGGCTTGTCACACATAAGAGAAGAATAAATTACAATGTGTTCTTATTCCCAGCCCTTAAGGAAATTACTGGCTCCCTCATCTAAAGCATCCAAACCATCCTGGGCCACTGTCAGAGAAGTTAAGTGTTTGCTGTTTCCTTAGTAGCCATGTGACCTTGAGCAAGCCGTAACTTGCTGGGGAGCTCCGTTCTTCAGTCGTGAAGTGGCAGGATTCACTCCTGCATTGGCTCAGAGGGCTACCATAATGACAATCGTAAGAAGGAGTGCTCCAGTGCAGAAAAGATTGTCTCATGGTTCTGCAGGCCAGAGAGTCAAGATGGAGTATAGGCAGGACGGGGTCCTTCCAAGGAGCAAGGATCGGTCCTATGCCTGGATCCTAGCCCAGAGGTTTACCATCATTGCTGTTCCTTGCCTTACACATTAAACAATAATAATCATAAATAAAATTAAATAAATAATTTTTTAGAGGTTTTTGCTATAGAGTGAATGCGCTTGCCAGAAAGACAGAGAGATAGGAAGCCAGAAATCACCCCCCAGAGGGGATGGCCATGCTGCAATCCCTTCTCCTCCATTCTCCTCTCAGGATCTTTGGCATACATGCACACGCACCCGGCGTGAGTTTAAGCCAGGACTCGAACCATGATCAACTACATGGGAGTCCAGTGACATAGCCATTACGCTAACTGTTGGTCCCAAATAACTCTTTAAAAAAAAATAAAAAGAAGAAGCATTGCTCTAATGTTTGCCTTTCATCTTCATTATCTTTCACATATACCCGGGTCCAAGTGTCCCCTTTTTCTCTAAGAATACTAATCATGTTTAAATCATGATTAAAATTATCTCATCTTGGGGACCAGCAGATGGCGTAATGGTTATGTCACTGAGCTCCCAAGTAGTCAACCACAGTTCAAGTCCCACACCTGGTGGCTTAAAACTCACACCAAGCATGCCCAAAATCCCAAGAGGAGAATGGAGGAGAAGGGATTGCAGCATGGCCATCTCCCTCTGAGGGGTGATTTCTTGCTTTCTGTCTCTCTGTCTCTCCAGCGAGTGCACTTCCATTTCACCCTGGTCTAGAGGCTTGCAGAAGGCCACCTGTGTGAAAGGACAAATAGGTAGCTAAGCAGACAGAATGGAAGAGGTTGCGTGGTTTTTCAGGATCTGGGGGCCACAGAGAGGTGGCTGTATCATAAGAGGCAGGTGCATGGCAGGTGGGGGAGCAGGAGGCACAGAAAGCCCACCTGAGAGCCCACATGGCTGGGTTATCTATGCTTCCCTGACCTGCTCGATATGACAAGACAGACCCTGGAAAGGCTTTGCATAGAGGTAGGGCCTCTCAGCTGGTCCACAACCAGGCCGGAGGAGGCTTTGGTTTCTTTCCCACCGTACCTAAGGATCTGCGGCCATCAGCAGCAAGCTTGCCCTAAATGGCACTGTCCTGGCCACCTGGGCAGGGGAGCCAGTCTGAGCGAACCGTTTTGCCATCAGGCTTTCCTATTTCCACCCCTTGGGATCTGGACAGGTGAACAGAGGGTTGCCATTTCCCACCTCCATGCATAAATGTGACCTGCCTCTGCAGAGGAGCCTGGCTCTGGAAGGGGTGAGGACGAAGCCCCACAGTGGTCCCTGCCACCCTCTCCTCTGCCTGTGCTCCCTGCACTCTGTGGCACAGAGACTTGGAGTAACTTGCCTGAGGTTGTGAAGCCACAGGCAGAGCCAGCCTGTGACCCTAGCTGGTGGCTCCTAAACCCTGTGTGTTCTTGCATCAGACTGAAGCTGGGCACTACCCAGACCAAAGGCTCAGGTATGCCTTGTGGGGTGGAGGAGAGGACTCTGGTACTCAGCCTGGGAGAAGGGCGGAATCTTCTGCCATTGTGCGGCAGCATTTTCCAAATAAAGGCCTCGAAGAAGGGGGACCAGAGCTGGGAGAAAGACAAACCCAGCACTAGCAAGTCATTGGAAAGGGAGCCCTTTATGTCCCCACTTCCACCTTAGGGAGCCCCCTCAGTAGTTGTTTTGCTTTTGGTTCCACTCATTGACGATTTTGTTGGAAAACATATCAAGCACACAGATGAGAATAGAAAGTAAAACTCAACCTGCTACTCAGATTTATCAAATTAACATTAAGCCATACTTGCTCCTAAAAAAAGCGTTTAAGGTTTTTCACAATAGGGCATATGTACTAGCTGGAGAGACAGAGAGAAACAGAGAGCAAGAAATAACCCCCAAAGGAGGATCGCCACGCCTCAATCCCTTCTCCTCCATTCTCATCCTAGGATTTGGAGCACGCGCACACACGTGTCCAGCATGAGTTTCAAGCCACCGGGTCTGGGACTCAAATCGTGGTCTGACATGTGGGAGTCCAGTGCCTTAACTACCATGTCAAATGCTGGCCTCCAGATGTTCACTTTTAAGAAAGGAAACAACAGAAGAGTCAAAGCCCCAAGAAGAAAAAACCACTTTCATGAATTTGCCATTTATGACTCCCATGCAGATTTGTATAGCTATAATACATATTGATGTATTCCTGCGCATTTTGTAGTACTGTTTGTGTGTTTGGAAACCTGATCCGAATGGCCTCACGCTGGTGTTCCTCCTGCTTCTCCCGCTCGGCAGCGAGTCTTTGAGCTGCATCCGTGCAGATCCGTGAGCTGTGCTTCAGGCATTTTCACTGCTTAACCACAGGTTGTTCATTTATTTTTTGGTTGTTTCCAATTTTTGTTGTTTGTTATTATAAATGCTCTTGTGAGAAGATTCTGGGTTAACGAGGCTCCCTGTGCTCTACAGCACACACCTAGAAGTAGGACACCTGGGTCATGGGGTGGGAGCAGCTTCAGTTCTTCTGGCTATTGCCAAACTTTTCTCAAAAGTGGTTCTACCAACTTGTACTCCTACCAATGTAACTCTCAACTCCCCACACCCTTGCCTGTACTTGGCATTATCACACTTTTAAAAATTCTGGGGCAAAGGGGCTGGCAGATGGCAAACAGCTAGGTCACTAGACTCCCTTATGGCCACCTGTGGTTCAAGTCTTGGACCCGATAACTTCAAACTCATGCCGGGTGTGTGTGCATGCGTGTCCAAGATCCTGGGAAGAGAAGGGATTGGGGCATTGCCATACCCCATGTCGGTGACATCTCTCTGTCTGTTTCTGTTTCTCTAGCAAGCACATGAGCCCTACAGCAAAAATCTCTCCAAAAAAAAAAAAAAAAAACATAGTGCCAGAACCAGCAGGTGATTAATGGTTACATTGCTGATCTCCCACATAGTCGATCACAATTCAAGTTCTGGACCTGGCGGCGCATGTGCATGCCCAAAATCCCAAGCTGAGAATGGAGAAAAAGGGAATACAGTGTGGCTATTCCCCCCCAGGGGTAATTTCTCACTTTCTGTCTCCTTATCTCTCTCTGTCTCTCCGGTAAGTGCATGTGCTCTGCAGCAAAATTATCTTTCTATAGGAAAAAAAAAAAAAAATTCCGGGCCAATTGGCCCTGCAGCAAAGTGGTGAAGGATGCCAGGTCCCACGTAGCCGACCACAGTTCAAGCCAGTGACACTGGCGAGAAGACTCATGTCCCTCAGGGCTGGGAGATACATTGGGTAAGGCACAGCAGAAGGCTCAAGCCCATGTCCAGAGAGAAGAAGGATGTTCCCGATCTTGGCACAGACGGCGGGAAATGTCGTGATTCCATAGTGGAGAGCTCGGGGAAGGATGCCTCCAAGATGATTAGCTTCACTCAATAGTTCAATGATGTATTTTCTGCTTATTTTACAAAGAAACATTTACTGCAGTCTCTCTTCTATACACTGTGCATTTGTACATTACGGCAGAGGGAGAACGGTAGGGGACACTTTCGTTCACTACTATCTCATGTCTCCTGCTTTTCCTTGACTGCTTAAGAAAATTAATCTTGGCTTCAACATTTACATTATCTTCCCTTTTACAGGCTACTAGATTCCCTAACTGGCAGTCTCCCTCCTGGGTTGGCATCACTCAGAGAAGCACAGGGTGGCCACATTCAACACCAACAGTTCCAAGTCTGCATCTGCCGGTGCCCCGCGCCTTCCACGCCATGGCTTCCACCTTGGCTGATCTGAGCTTCGCATAGACTCCTGCTCTGAGGCTGGCAAGATAGAGTGGTAGGTGTTTAATTTTTTAAAGAATATTTTATTTATTTATTATGGTGGGGGTTTCTTAATTTTTTGTTCTTAATTCCCATTTAACAGATGATGAAGCTAGGGGCCAAGGAAGAGATAATGTTTGCAAAAGCCACTCAGCTTATGAGAAGCAGAGTTTCAACTAGAATCCATTTTCTCTGCATCCCAGGTCAGGTCTTTGCAGGCCAAGGCTTGGGGTCCAAAGCTGTGTGTTAGGGTGGAAAGGGGGCTAGGGAGGTGGCAGGCAGGGCCTCAGGACATGTGCTCCCTCCAGGGAACACCAGCAATTCCTGGGGTGCCCTTTCCCAGCATCGGGTATTGTTAACCAGCTGCAGCTGGGTATGAACAGAAGGTCTCTTCCTCCTGCAAAGACAGTGGCCCCTCTCAGGGCAGAAAGCTGCTAAAAGCACCTTCACTGCCAGAGAAAACCAGAGGCTTGCCAAACTCAGTCATTGCTTAGACCTGCTCCAGGCCAGAACAGAATCTCGCTTTATTGAGCCATGAGCTAAAGGCCAAAGAAAACAATAGTGGGACCCCAGTCTACAAGGACCCAGCCCCCTCCCCTGAGATCCTTCCCCCAGCAGCAGATGGTGACCACTTCTGTGACTCACTCCTCCCCAGGGAGCAGCCTTTGGAGGAAATGGCCTCTGCACGGGAGGAGCTTTCTATGGATGAACTGCAGGGAGGTCTCTGGTCTCCAGGAAGGAAAAACACAGCAAGGGTTGCAACCACAACGCTGGCAACAGGGATCATCTCCAGGGTTTTTGGGCAACATGCAGGAAGCGCAAGGGGGAAAGGTGACACTGGGAAGCCAGCTTCCCCCCCCCACCTCCCCCCCACACCTCCCCGCCCCGGCCCTGGCTGGAACACCTCCTCCAGTCTAGTAGCAGGGACAAGGACAGAGCTGGGCCCAACAGGCCTACTGCTACAAGAACAAGATCATGCCACCACTGGCCAGGGGTGGTGACCCCCAGCACTTCCCTAGGTGTGAGTGCCCTGGAGAGAACAAGTGAGACTGCTTGCCTGGGCTAACGTGGATAAGGTTTTACGTTTTAGATTTTTCACCAGAAGAAAAGGCCTGATTCTCCTTTGTGTTGCTAAATCCCATCTTTACAGAAAGTCACACATAAGGTAATGATGCAAACAAGGAGAAAATAGAGTCAAACTGCTTGCCCTCCAAACCTGTCCCTGACCCTTAAAGATTTTACAAAAACATGCATTTTGCCTCTTGGCATCGGCTGGCAGGAAAGAAGAACAGCAGCCCTGGCAGTGTGGGACTCCCAAGGACTCTAGGTGGCCTTCTTCTAGTTGCAGGGGTGAGTCTCTGGGCAGCAGAGTGCTGTGGATGGACTCTAAGCCCCGCCTCCACACACACACTTCACTGGTGCCAAAGACATGAGTGGACAGCTGGCAATAGACCCTTAGTATAGTGCCTGTCCAGGTCCAAAACTTCAATTGTTTCTTCCTTCATCCACGGGCTCATTCACCTGTCCTTCTACAGGCGTGTGCCAGCTGCTCTGCTGTGCCCACTGTACTGACCACAGAGAGGTTGCCGGTCACCGTCACACACAGTCAGGTGTCACTTAGCGCCTGGGATACGTCTTGAGAAATGCATCCTTAGCTGATTTCGTCATCATGTGGTCATCATAGAGCGTACTTGCACAAATCTAGACGGCACAGCTCACGACGCAGCCAGGCCAATTGCTCCCATGGGACCACCGTCACACACGCAGTCCGCCATGGACCGTCACATCCTTGTGCTGGCCTTTGCCCAGGCCCTCATTCCAAGGTGTGCTGAACACCATCTACATCCAAGCAGCATGCTGGATGGGGAATCCAGAGACGAAGGAGACATGGCCCCATCATCAAGCTCCCTGTGGCGGGCTACTAAATCTCCATCCTTGGAACACAGATTTGGTTTTTGGAAATAATACCATTTTTTTTACATTCATTCATCCAGTATGTATTTTTTCATGATAGAGCACGTGCATGCTCACACGAGAGAGAGAGGAGCCACGTGCACAGGGTCTGGACACACCATAATTTCTTTCCTCCAGTCCTCCAACTTGTTGGCTCACATGCATGCTCAGCCATCTCGGGTTGACTGGGGCAGGGATTCGAACCGCGGTTGTCACGTGAGATCTGGCCTCTCTTGAGCAGCACATTACCACTGCACCATGGAGCCAGCCTACATGTATCTCTTAGCTAACCCCATTGTAAGCATGAGAATGTAAACGTGCACACAACAGAAATGGTTCCTGCCCACAGCTAGCTTACCTTCTGGTGGGGGGCGCAGACAATAAAACACGAGCTTAACACAGTAGGCTTATTTACTCCAAGTAAGCAAGCAAATTTTAAAAATATATATGGAGATCACTTCTAATCCTAGTGCTTGCTAGGAAGACAGAGGGAGCCACTGTGACTGGCAGCAATTGCCGGTTAAAGGAGTCACAGCCTGCAGGGAATAGGGCTTGGGGCTAATGACAAATACAGAAGGACAGCAGGGTATAGGGAGCAATTCCTGAGTCCTCAGCAGCCTGGGAAGCCACCCCTGAGAGTGTCCAGGAACAAAGGGAGGGGCATCTGAGGGACTTGGAAGATTAACACCCTACATGAAAGGTGTAATTGATTCTAGGACACGACCGACGTTTAGACATACAATTCCTAAACTGCACCTCAAAAACAAGTGTGGACGCTGGGCGTGTGTGCGTGCATGCCCAAGATCCCAAGGGGAGAATGGAAGAGAAGGGATTGCGGCGTGGCCATCCCCCCTGGGGGGCGATTTCTCGCTTTCTGTCTCTCTGTCTTTCTCTGTCTTTCTGGCAAGCACTCGCTCAAAAAAAAATAAATAAATAAATAAGGAGAAAAAAACCAAGTGTAGAAAAAAATACCGTGGTGGGGGCCAGCAGATGGCATAGGGGTTGCGTCACTAGACTCCTACATGGCCAACTGCGGTTCACGTCCTGGACCCAGTGACTTCAAATGCTTGCTGGCACATGCACGTGCATCCCCAAGATCTCTGGAGGAGATGGAGGAAAAGGGATTGTGGCATGGCCATCCCCCACCCCCCCCACGCCCCCGTCCCCGGGGTGATTTCTCACTTTCCCTCTCATAGTACCTGTCTCTATTTCCAGAGAGCGCCCGCGCCCTAAGGAAAAATTTCTCATCAAAACAAAAAAAATACTGTTTGTTTGTTTGTTTGTTTGTTTGTTTGTTTGATCTCCCATAGGAAACTCTGAAGTTTTTGGGTTATCTTTTTATTCCATAAATATGAGTGTGTGGGTATATTTTTTCTCATAACATCTCTTCTACTTTTTCTTAGATAATCAAAAGCCCTATACAAAGTTTGGATTCTGGATAAAATTTAAAGATAGCATATTTTCTGACAGATTGGACATGGGGTGTGAGAAACACTTTTATTTTTATCTTAAAAAAAATAGAGAGAGAATAGGGTCAAGGTTGGATACCCAGAGATATGGCTGATAGGATGGAACTATCTGGTCCTGAATGCTCTTCCCCCATCTGTCCAGGTGGGTCTATTTAGCCTCATTCATCTTTGCAAATTCCATTCTGCCTTCCTCACCCTCAAGGGCTCCCGTCTCTCCATTCTGCCTCCCTCACCCTCAAGGGCTCCTGTCTCTCCATTCTGCCTTCCTCACCCTCAAGGACTCCCCTCTGCTCCTCTGAGACCTTGTGCGTAGCATTGTCCTTCCCCCACGATATCATACACTTTCTTTCTTTGTGTTCGCTGGTCAGCAGATTGTAAGCAGCTTGAAGATGGGACGATGCCTTCATCGCCTGTTTCCTAACCACCTATCACAGAGCCTTCCTGGTATTGAGAGCTTAATAAATACATAAATAAGTAAATAGGTCAGGCACATCAGTGGGCTCTTTTACAAGTATTTATCCCTGATCTTCAGAATAACCTCACAAGGTGCATGTTGTTTTCCTATTTCATAGACAAAGAAATTAAAACATAGACAGGTTTAAGCTTATCTAAAGAAATAGCTCATACATTGCTGAGCTGGAGTTTGGACCCAGGTCCACAGAACCCCAACTCATCTCTGTGTGTATTCATCCAATAAGTGGGTGTGTGAGATTACCAATGCTGGGAACCAACAGTTAGCATAATGGCTATGTCGCTGGACTCCCACGTAGTTGACCGCGGTTCGCGTCCGGACCTGGTGGCTTAAAATTCACGCCAGGCGCGTGTGTGTGCGTGCCCAAGATCCCAAGAGGAGAATGGAGGAGAAGGGATTGCGGAGTGGCCATCCCCCCTGGGATTTCTCACTTTCTGTCTGCCTGGAGTAGCACCTCCAAGGCTTTGTGAGGGAGGTGAGCCCCGTACAGGTCACACAAGAAGGAAGGCAAGCTTAGGGACCAGCCCCAGAGTAGCACCTCCGAGGCTTCGTGAGGGAGGTGAGTCCCGTACAGGCCACACAAGAAGGAAGGCAAGCTTAGGGACCATATAGCCAACTGCAGTTCAAATCCTAGATCCAGCAGCTTGAAAACACTCTGAGTGTGAACATGTGTGTGCCCCAAATCCTGATGGGATGGAGAAATAGAAAAGGATTGTGATGTGATCACCCCCCATGTAGAGAGTGCTTTCTCTCTCTCTCTCTCTCATTCTCTCTCTCTCTCTCTCTCTCTCTCTCTCCCTCTCCTACAGCAAG